TTTATTATAAATTAAATCATAGTTTGGCCTAAAAATAAATGTGATTACATATGGTGTGATTATATGGGAGGTGACTATATGGAGGGACGACTGTATAAGCACATTTTGAAAAAAATTTACTATGTGCCCAACTGTGTGATTGTATAGGAGGACGACTGTAATATATGAGTGCTGCCAAGGGAAAAGGGTTTTGGTTAGTTATCTGATTCAGCCCTTCTGATCGATGACGTTTCGGGCTTCAAAATTTTATCATGTAATACTGTATATCGTGATTAATTTTCCATGTTATATTTATAATTTGAAGTCCGATGTGTTATCGACGATGTGTTATCGATCAGAAGGGCTGAATCAAATAACTAACCAAAAATGACCCTTGGCAGCACTCATATGGTGCTTCTTTAATAGATGCCAAGAAATTTAAAATGACGTGATTCATATAGACAATCCTCTCATGTTCATGGGTACCTTTTCACTAATACGTAATAGCATTTTTTCCCACCTGAAAAGAGGGTTTGAAATATTTAAGAGCTGCACGAAGTTGGAAGTGCTTTTTTTTATAATGTTAAAAAAATGACATTTTCCTTGACCCCATCAAATCCTACCGTTGTAAAAACTTCCAAGGGTGAAGATAAAATAATCTATGTAGAATTTAAAGTGCCAGAATATAATCGAGATGCATCTTTTAGTCTTGCAAAATATTCTTATCGAGCAAACTCAGAGAATCCTGATATTGATGAAGGATGGATTGTTTATAGAAATAATGAAAGTTTTCTAACTGTTGGGAAAGGTTATGTAATTGTTAAAGGGAAATATTGTGGTATTTGTTCAACTGATTTGGCTAGGCGATATTTACCTTATGAATTGCCACAGGTAAAATATTCAATTAGGAATTCGTCCTTAAAAAAAAAATTTCCTAAATTTTATTTATACATCAGATTATCGGACATGAAGCTGTTGCTATACATCAATCTAAGCCCGTTGTAATAGAAATTAACGCATCACATTTTGCTCGTGGAATTACAAACGAATCGTGTCTTTTC